TTTTTTTTCTCATTCTCCTCTGCTTCTTCATCGCCTTTTCCTTCGCTTCGCCTCTGTGTATCTTCTACTTCGATTCGTTTTTTTTTTTTTTTTTTTTTTTTTTTTTGTATATATATTTCCTCATTTTTATGTTATTTATTTATTTTTCATTAAGCGGCAATGTGCATTGAGCTGTTGTATACAATAGCGATGAGCAGCAGATGCAGCGGCCGCAACGGCAACGGCGACGGCAACAGCAGCACGGGCACAGATACAGCAACAAGATATTGTATCTTGAAGATACAGATACATTAGAAATAACACACGCTGCGCTTGTAATAAATTGTATTATTTATATTATTTTATTCATGCACACACACACATACACACAGAGAGAGAGAGAGAGAGAGAGAGAGAGAGAGAGAGAGAGAGACAGAGACACACACAGAGACAGAAACGAGTCTCGACGCTAGCTCCGCCGCCACTTGAGGCCAATTTAACACAGGCAAAAGATCAGACGCAGTCGACGTCGCCGTCGACGCCCAGCGGAAGCGTCGTCCGTTTGTGCCACAGACTCGAGGCAGTTGGTCGGGCAGGGGATTGCAGGGTCGCTTGCCTCTGCAGAGAGTGACGAGTGTAATGACTTTTGTCGATTGGGTTAAGTGGCTTGTTGGCTTCCTTTGCGCACCTACACAGATACAGTCACACACACACACACACGCACACATACACACGCGCACAATTCAAATGCACCTTCTCATTTTTCTTTCGTTTTAATTTTTTTTTTTTTTTTTTTGTGAGTTGCATCTTTTTCAATTTTTATGCATGCCACACATTTTGTTGCCGGCTGCTGTTGTTGCTCTGGTTGTTGCCTTTTTGATTGCTGCCTGCCTGCTTTTTTCCCTACACCTTCTTATGTGTGTGTGTGTGTGAAGTAGCTTGAATGTGGCACGTTTGCTTGTTGTGGTTGCGGGGGTCCCCCCCTCTCTGAGGTAATTTGTCTACACAAGTTTCTTTTTTTTGTCAGCATCAGCTTGCTTATTATATTCAGCAAACTGACTCAAACTGAGTTTAAGGATATGCGTGCGTAATAATTTTTTGTGTTTTTGTTGAGAGTCTGACTTCAATTCGACAGCTAACCAATTGCCCAGAGCTTTATATATTTAGCTTCTTTTATTTCTTGGTAAGGGCTATGGGCGAAAACGAAAGTGCTTAACAGATAATTAAAAAAAAAAAAAAACAACTTTTTGAATGGCACGTTATTATTAGTTAGTTAGTTCAATTAGTTTTTAAGGCATGATTATGTTTGTTAAGAGTTTTCCTATATCTTTTAAGTTTAGGCTTGAGATAAAAAGAAAAATAAATAAAATTTGTGAAAATTCCAAATTTATCTTATTTGAAAATTAACCCTTTCCTGACTCTTCTAGCTGTATATAGATATTACAAAACAAAAAGAACTTATACCACCCAGTTAGAGGGTATGTGGAAGTCGTGCACTCATACCCTAAAACACTGATGCCATCTCAACATAATTCAATAAAATTTAATTAACCCTCATCACCTATAACTACAAGATATATATAACTATAAGAAACAATATATATAAATGCATATATTTATATTCATATAGCGGAGATCTCCTCGACTGTAGTTCACTGAACCTGAGAGAATAATAAAAATAAAATATTACCTCTAATGATGCACGCATAAAATGCAGCAGCAGCAGCAGCAGCAGCAGCAGCAGTCGCCGCAGCGGCATCAATAAAATATGAACAAGAATAAGACGACGAAGAGGCCGAAATAAAATAAATAAAAGAACATATAAATAAGAAAAAGAAAGAAAAAAAAAACAGACTTTCAACAAAAGACCAAGAAAATGAGAAATATTATAAAAGTGCAATTAATCAACGGAAAGCGAAGCAGAAAGATCGACCGATCGCGAGACAAAGGCTGACACTTATCGGCTTTAGCTGCTTATGTGTGTGGCATGCCACAAAGAGAAACAGCAACAACAACAAAAACTTGTAAATAAATGAAAAAAAAAAGAGGAACGTATTAAAAGTATTTAAGAAGAGCTGCTGCATATGGGAATTGATTATTTTGCATATAGAGAGGGAACTATAGAAGCGGATGCCGCCTGTCAATATTTGATGGTTATGATCGTTTATGATGGGAAATGAAGGGTATATTGGTTGTAGAGGTCGTATGTATATAAAGTGTTATCTCAATCTTAGCTAATTTTATATCATCCCCAATTCTCAAATGACAATCATCTAACAGTTACATCTCAAGATAGATCTTAACCTTCTACAAACTTTAGATTATCTAAAATAAATACTAGTTTCTTAATAACGCCTTCCGGTATGAACGAGTATGATGCGGTCGTTGCAACTCGAATGCAACGTTCTTATTAGTTATATATGAGCATTTACTGATCAATGATCAGCATGACGTTGAAGCAGGTGAAGGGGGTCGGGGGTTGGGAGTCGAGGTTTCGTGGCAGCGATTTTTAATAAATGAAATGTGTAAATAAACGCACGAGCAACAACAACAATAATAATAGCTAAAACAACAACAACAAGTGGCATCAGAATTGGTTAGACAAACAGCAGGAAAGCATAAACATGGCCAACACTAATACCAAGGCAAACAGAACAAAAGATGCAGATGCAGATGCTATAGCTGTTGTTGTTGTTGTTGTTGTTGCAGATGCATTTCCAAAGAATTTCTAAGCACATAAAAATACAAACAACAACAACAGCAATGAACAAAATCAAAGCCCGCGGTCAGCGTTGGAAAAAATATTTAAAAATGCATAAAAACAAAATATTTATTGAAGAAATGCGGGAGGGAAAGAGAGGGAGCAATAGAGAAAGGGGGAACGGAGCGATAGAGAGAGGGATACGCTAACAAGAAAACGGGAAAGCAGACAGACAATCGGATTATCAGAAAATTGAACTACGAAAAGATACCCTGTAAAAATGTTTTTATTATCCAAAATTATAAGAGGCTTATGGTCTGTATATAAATAAAGAATAAACACATCGAATTTATAGTTTTATAAATTTATGTATCATATGAACATCAAAAATTTTATATTTCTGCCATTGAAATTTTATAAATTATTGGATACATATTGAATAAGCAAAAGGTATTGAGAGACTCTCTCCCTGTCTCTTCCGCACAGTGTACAATCTCACAATTAAAGCTACATGATGCCCTATGAGTACAAGCTACAGGGTATCAAAATATTAAATGAGATAAACAAACGATTTCGAATTTGAACATATGAGCATGCTAATGCGCCCAAGACGCGAGTGAAGCGATCGAGCCGAGCTGCTGTTAACCCAGCCCAGCCTTTGGTTTATTTGATTAATGCACTCGAAAGCGACAATAAACAAGAACAAACGAACGAACGAATGGCTGGCAACTCTGGCCAGAGCCGTGGCTGGGCTGTGATCTGTCCCAGCCCAAAAGGGAGATCCGCATGCAGAGACAAACAAATATTGCATTCCAGCGAGCACAAATCGAATGTGAATGCCCAGAATCAGTGTGAGAGCTGGGAAGCTGGGGAAGAGCTAGGGAGAAGACTCTTTGGGTTCGACGACGTCTATTAGATAAATAAATAAAAATTCTTTATTAAAGTGCGAATTCTGCGATGCGGCTTAATGTTGATGGAACGCTCGAAGGCGCGTTGACTGTGCTGTGTCTAGAGAACCGTTGACATAATTGCACCAACAGATCGTATCTGAAAACCAGTTTACGGCCAACTCTGGATGCAGGCGAGTAAACTCTTTGGATAACTTTGATGAGGATAAAGAGCAGAAGAAGATGACGATGAAGAAGAAGAAAAACAGAAAAAAGTGCCTAACAAACCATTTAAAATAAATAATTTGAAATGATTTATGAACAGGTTTTTAGTTCTTCAATATATTAGTAAGGGTATTCTGTAAAAAGAAAATGCAAATGCAAGAAGGTGACAATGCTTATTGGATAAGAATTGGAATACAAATGAAATATGTGGTAGAGCTTATCATAGGATTATGCTATAATGTCTATTTATAGTGTTGTAAAATACATAACAGAAAAATTAGACACAGAATTCATTCACAGAAAAGTTCTTATAAAAGGCATTTAACAAAGAAGTTTATTTAGAATTAGTCTAGAATATTCTGACTGAATATAATGCAGTGTTGTAAAACACATACTACGAAATTTTCTAGAGTGGATAAAATTTGCGAAGCTTTTTAATAGTAGAATAAAATACATTAAAATATTTAATTTGGTATATATAATAACCCTGTTTTAAAAGTTTTTTTTTTCCAACCTCATATCATCTGTTGCTTGTGATAATATATCTATAAATATACTTTTTACTCTATGTTCTCCAACATTGGATGACCTTAATTCCAAAAATATAAACTCCTATGAATGAATATTCAGATTCACATTCATATTTAACAATCAATTAATGTGCGGACATAAGGAGGAAGCATCGCATGTAGAACCTACGACAAGGCGAAAAATGTTTAAAATGCTTTCAACGATCGCGAGCAGAAGACGTGGCCGGCAACAACAATGAACAGTGGAACAGAAGCAGCGGCCATGGCAGAGGCAGAGGCAGAGGCAGAGGCAGAGAGGGAGCAGCCACGACGCCGGCGACGACGTGCAGCACGTGAATGCTGTCAATCAAGAGCGCAGCGAACAACAACATTCCACGGTAGCTGGTGCTGCTGCTGTTGCTGCCGAGGCCATTGTGACGTCACGCGGCGAAATGCCGTCGGCAAAAAGTCGCCGAATCAAAATGAAGATCGCGAAACGTAAATCAAAACAAAACAGAGAGCGCAACGGAGAGTGAGAGAGCGATTGCCTTTGACGCGTGAGCGTAAGCAAACGCTGCTGCTGCGGCTACTGCTGCAGCGGCAGCTGCTGAAGAGAGCGCGCTAAGAAGATCGCGTTTGTGAATGAAATGCCGTAAGAGAACGTTTAAAGAGAGAGATAAATAGCCTATGCTCACTTACCCGCTCTTCCTCGCGTATCATCTCCGCGATGCCCGGCTTGATCTCCATGTCGTCCGCGAGCGAAGCTGAGCTGGACGGTCCGCTGTGATGGTGGGGCGGCGGTGGCGGCAGTCGCGGCTCGGCAGCAGCGACGCTGAGCTCCATGGCGGCAGCGGCCATGGCCGCGGCAGAGCCGAGCGGGAATCGCGACTCAGCGGAAGTGCTGGAAGCGGAAGTGGAGATGTGATGCTGTTGCTGTTGCTGCTGCAGATGATGGAGATGCTGCTGCTGCTGTTGTTGTTGTTGCTGTTGCTGTGGACTGGGCAGCGAGCGTGGGCAGCGGCTAGCTCCCGGTGGCGCTGGCGTCGTTGCAGGTGAGGGCATTTCCAGGCCATGCAGCGCCGTCTCCAGCGCTTGTGCTGCGGGCGTCAAGCGGCGCGGCGTCAGGCTGCCGCTGCCAGCGCCCATTGGCTTGGGCGGCGGTGTCAGTAGGCCGCAATCGCGCTGTCTCTCTCGCTCCTTCTGCTCCTGCTCCAGTCGCTCGGCAGCGATCAAGCTGCTCAATGGGCTCGGCGGCGCCTGGAATATGGCATCAGCCGAGGGCCAGCGACGCTTGCGCACATTGCGGCTCTGCTGCTGCTGCTGTTGTTGTTGCTGCTGTTGCTGCTGCTGCTGCTGGTGATGGAGCTGCTGCTGCGGCGAAAGACGCAGCTCGCCGCAATCCCAGTCGCTGGTGCGCAACTTCTTCTCCGGCTGCATAAAGGAGAGCAGATCGTCGCTCGGTTCGCGCTCCAACGGCGTCTTGGGCGACAGTTGAGCGGGCGAGGAGCAGGCGGTCGCTGTTGCTGCTGCAGCCGCTGCCGCTGCCGCCGCCGCTGCTGCTGCTGCTGCAGAATTGACTTCTTCCATTTGGGTGACGTCCGCGAGGCCGCGCACCTTCAGCAGCTCGGCGATGCGCAGCAGCGGACCGATTTGATCTTGACTTACGTTGATCTCGCCGCGATACATAAATTCCACAATGGCCTTGAGATCGCACCAGCTGACGTCGCGCATGATGACAATGGGATGCTGGCAGGGCGTCTCGGCCAGCAGCGTCTGGAAATAGGGCGAACAGGCGGAGAGCACCATTTTGTGGGCCTTGATCGAGCGGCCGTCGCAGGCGAGCGTCACGTCCACAAAGGATTCGTTCTGCAACAGCTGATCGAAGATCGTGGTCAGATTCGATTGGTAGTTGTTCCAGCGTAGGCAGAATTGCTGCGGCAGCGGCGTCTGCTGCTGCTGCTGGAGCGGCGTCGTCGTTGTCGTCGCACTGGAGCTGGGCGATGAGCTGCCCGCGTTGGCAGCGCCGCTGACGTCGGCATCGGCGGCACCGCTGGCGCTCGGCGGTGTTGTTAACGGCGGGCTAACGGCCTTTGGTTTATCCTTTTGTGGTGTAGGCGAATTGCTGCCGCCACTACCGCTACCGCTGCCGCTGCCGCCACCACCGCTGCGCTGTCGCTGCGCCGCTTGCGCCTGCTCTGTGGCGTAGGTTTCGCTGTCTGTTTGCGCAGCGGCAGCGGTGGCGACGTTGCTGCTCGTGCTTGTGGTGCTGGTGCTGCCGCGATCGTTACTTGGCCGCGACGTTGGCGTCTCCGTTGACGCCATTTTGTATGCTCCAAAAATTGAGAGCAAGAGCGAGAGCGAGAGAGTGTCTATTGATCGAGCGGCAAAGCAAAATCGAACTCTTTAGCTGTATGCATGTGGGTGTATAAGTGTGTGTGTGTGTGTGTACCGAACACTGCAACGAGACGACGCGGTTATTATCGCGCTCGCGATTTGGTCGCGATATTATTAACGTACACGTGACAACGTGTGTGTGTGTGTGAGTGAGATGTAAGTGTGTATATGTGTGGCTTATTTTACGCGCGTTTTCAATTTAACAACCAAATATTTAAATTCAAATTTTTTGTTTAATTTTTAAAATTTTTTTAAATTATTTTGAAATTAGCTTAAAATAGTTTGTTGTCTTATCAACAAATCGTATGTGTGTGAGTGTGTGTGTGTGTTTGTAGGTGTGTATGCGTATGGCGGCTTTTTCGTTTTTGGCGTCTCGTCGTTATTTTTGGCAATGGAACGTGCCCCCAATAAAAAGTCTTTTCAGCACGAGCGTCTGAATTAGACTGAAAACGTTTTGCACATTTTGATACGGAAAAACTCAAAACAAACTTAACGGGCAGCAGCAGGCAGCAGCAGCAGCAGCAGCAGACGACGTCGATTGGGGCTACGAAAACGCAGAGGCGCTGCTGCTAGTAGCTGCTGCTGCTGCTGTTGTTGTTGTTGTAGTTGCCGTCGCGTCGAGAGTTGCGAATGCGAATTCGCTGAGTCGTCGTCGCGACGTCAGCCGCGAGACCCCCAAGTCGTAAATAGTGTGTGGCGCTGTCGACGTCGCAGCCAGCAAATATTGCAGTTGCAGTTTTCAAGGCAAAGGAGCGCAGCGAAAATAGTGCAAAAGAGCGACGCCAGGCGGCAAACGGCAAACGGTGAGCGGCGAGCAGCGAGCGGCAACAAAACAAATGCCGGCAAACGTACAAAATTCCTTTACTCGGCAAAACGAAAACGAAGCGCCGCCGACGACGACGATGACTACAACGACGAACGCGCTGGTAGAGACGAAGAGACGAAGAGGCGATGAGGCGAAACGAGGCGAAGCTCGCTCGCGAGCGACTTCGGCGCTGGTTCGCTCTCCCACACACAGCCAGCGCCGCGCAACCCCCAAAAAAGCAGCGGCAACTGTGCTGTGCCGTTAGCTCAAGAGATGAGACAAACGCGCTGCATTTTCGGCAATGCGTGCGAAGGGGGGCGCCTAATAGTTAAGCATGCGTGTGTGTGTGTGTGTGATTGAGTGAGTGTGTGTGAGTGCGTGAGTAAATGCAGCGAATAGTTAACGGTACTTTCAGTTAGCAATATAATAGGAAAGAGCTGAAGGCTAATTAATAATAATAGCAATAAATAATATAAATCATAATTTAAACAATTATCTAATTCATAAATGTCACATATATTCCCTTCCCCTCTCTCTCTCGCACACACACACTCTTGAAGCGGCCTAAGAAGCAAAAAAAAAAAACAACTTGACAGCAGCCGCCGTCGTCGTCGCCGTCGCAGCAGCAGCAGCAGCAAAGATTGTTCATTAATTAGTTCCGTTTGTATTTCTGCTGCCTCTGCTATCTCTGCCTGCTACTGCTGCTGCCGCCTGTGTTGCTTCTGCTCAATTTTGAGCTGCAGTCGGTTGCTCTCTCGCCAATTCGCCGCAATCTTTTGACGCTCTTTTGATTTTAAGAGACGCGCCATGTGCCTCTGCTCGGCTTGCACTTCTCTTTGGCAAAGACACGAACGAACAGTAAGTCGTAAGTAAGTACGGGTGGGAGCGAGAGGCAGCGCATAGGTTGGTTGGTGGGGTGTGCGAGTGCAAGCATTGCACCTGCAGTTTGAGCGACGTTTTGTCGTTTTTCGTTTTTCGCTTCTGGCCTGCCTTTGTCTGTGTGCTACTCACGTTGTTGTTGTTGGCTCTTTTTTTCTCGCTCGCTCGCCTTTGGAACTGCCCACACTGCGGGGCTGTCACTGGAGACTGGTCAAACGATATATGTGAGCGCGTGTATGTGTACGTGTGTAAGTAGTTGCGTGTTTCGCTATGCATATATGTGTGTGTATGGCTGAGTCTTGCACTTGTATTTTGATTATTGTTTTTGGCATTAAATGTATAAAATAAAGAAAAATACACACTCACACACACTCATGCAAAAAATTGGCCAAATGCGTGAACGAGACAAACGATGCTGCCAGCGTGTAGTGTATTAGAGCGAGACAGCCAGCTGCGGCTCAGTTTCAGCCAGTCATAAATTATGCAAAATAAAAACAATTTTTTTTTTTGCAACTAGCAAATGGCGGTTGACTACATTATTATAAATACGACTAAATAACGCAACTGTAAATTAATCAAACAGAAAATGTGCCTAATAAATGATCTTTAGCGATCGGGGAATACATTTTTAAATAGATGTGTTGGCAGAGATTTCACAGCAGCTGTTTGCATTAATTCAACGAGAGCGTCTGAATTGTAAATTTCACAATCTTTATTTTGATACTATTATTAATTGTTGTTTAGATGTGGATTATTTTTAAGCTATACAAATGTAAATAAATACTGTGGAAATTGTCGGAAATTATGTGTTGAATGGTTTTTAGGTGATGTGTTATATAAAGAACCAATAAGAACGAAATTTGAAATAATTATTTTAAAAATATAATTTACAAATTCGCTGTATTACAAATTTGTTTTCTAGGTGAACATAAAAAAGAAACAGAATAAACAATCTATTAATTATATATTACACTTATTTACCCTAATAAATTGGCTTAATTAAAAATAATAATAATTTTAAGCGTTTTTTAGGTAAATGTAATAATTATCTATTGACGATCTATATTACAAATATTATTTATTATGTACTATACATTTATTTATTGTACCTATAATTCTTTTTTCATATTAAATTGGTTTAATATAAAATAATAATCGACTTGCATGTTTTTATTTTTATTATTATTTATTAACAATTTTTATTATATATTTCAATTGTTATATAAATTATATTTATTTTATGGTTGATTCAACATAATACAATTTTTTTTTTTTGAATTATTATCATTATTTTATTTTTTAGTTATTAGTATTTTAAAAAAGCTTAACTTGTTTCCTTCATTCCAGGTAAAACTCTTAACCAATTTTGATATTTCGTAAGTTTTCTCTTTATAATTTTCTATTGATCTATAAAAACTCTACCTTTATCTGGCCTCAATTCCATTGGATTAGCTTATAGCCCATTCGTCAATCTCCCATATGTCTGTTAACTATCTATATATCTAATCATTCCATATAATAAAATCTCTGTATCCTAATTTATCTGTTCAACACTAAGTTGTGCCACTGTGCAGCCGTGGTGCAATGCAAAAATTTGGTTGCCACACTAAAAACGCAGCAACGCACGCACTTTGTTGCAAATGCATTGCGTTGCCATTGCTCCTCGTTGCTGTCGCCGTGGCTGTTGTTGTTGTTGTTGCTTTTGTTGTACGCAATTGTGGAGAAATGTGGCAAATAGCTTTTTCGGGGTTCGTGAGACACAAAACGCGTTTATACGAAAATTGATGTATTTAACTGTTGACGACGACGACGACGACGGCGACGGCGACGAGCGCCGCTGATGCGCGTTGCTGCTGACGAGCAAAACGATGACGCGAATGCGGATGCTGGACAGGACATATAAACTGGATAGCGGGGGGTAGGCGTGATGGGGGCAGGTCAGCATGTTGAAAGGCTGTGCGACAAGGCGACAGCCGCTGCGATGCGATGCGATGCGATGCGTTGCAATGGAGGTTTGTGGAAGACGACAACGGACAGCAAAGAGGCAAACAGACAGCAGGCGGCCAGGCGGAGGCGTGGCAAAGGGGCACTGCTCGATTTGAGAGGCTTGCGGCACACACGACTGAACGAACCGGCAAACAAACAAATAAAATGTGTGCGTGCGAGTGTGTGTGTGTGTGTGTGTGTGAAGGTGACCAAACTGTATAGAAGTAAAGGCAGCTGCTTGGATGCCAATGGGCGTGGCAGCGCGATGGGGCAACAGCGTAACACAAAGAGGTAGGAAAAAAAAACAGTTGCCGCATATTAAAACGCCAAATAGAAGAGACAACAAATGCAGCTTAGAAAGAAAAACCCGTCAAGGGATGGGGCAAGGGTGGTGGCAGCAGCAGGTGCCGGGGTGGGGGCTGGAGGCTGTATGGCAAGGGGTGCTGTTGCACAAAGTTAGCTTACGCGCACAAAAGCGATGAGCGATGATGCCTCAAATATGCAAAAATGCCTAGCGCAATAAAACGAAAGCCGAATGCGAGAAGTTGCTGGAGAGAGAGAGAGAGAGAAAGAGAGAGTGAGAAAGGGAGTGAGAAGCAGAAGGAGTACGCAGAGGGCGCCACAGCAATGAAAAAGGGCTTAACATGTGTGAGAGGCGCGTGTGAGTGTGTGAGGGAGTATGTGTGTGTGTGTGTGTGTGTGTATGTTGTATAAATCCAAAACGAAGTTCGAATGCAGGCAAAAGTACGAAACGGAGGCAGCGCTAACGATGGCTGAAAGGGGAAGACTAGAGAGAGGGGGGACGGACAGAGATGCAGGGTAGTTCAGCTGGCCAGAGCAGACAAACAAATAGACAGCATACGCAGCAGCAGCAGCAGCAGCAGGAGCAGCAACAGCAGAGTGGACTCCCCAACCAGCCGCCCATGCGCCCCCCTTGGGGGCACGGCATTGATGGACAGTTAACGCGGCAAAACGAAACGCGCGCAAAAGCCGAGTCCAGCCATCGAGGCTGCAACTCCTGTCAGCCAGTTGGCTTAGACGCAACTGTACTCCAGGCACAGGCACAGGCAGAGGCACTGGCACAGGCGCTGGCACAAGCACAGGTCCTGGAACACAGGCACAGGCACAGGACTCTACTCCAAAGTCCACATGGTGGACACCCGCTCCACATCTGCCTCGCTGCCTCTCTCGCTGTCTCTTGTCCAGCTGCCTGCGACCCCCAGGCAAAGATTTTCGCGTGCGTTGCAAGTTGTTTGTTGCATGTGCGTGTCTCTATGTGTATGCGTGTGTGTGTGTGTGTGTGTGTGTGTGTGTGTGTGCAGTTTTTGTAAATTTTGCGCCATTTGATTGCATTGCCTATCCTGCAGCAGCACCTTCTAACCCATCTCATTCGCACTCCCTCTCTGTCTCACTCTGCCGTGCTCTTCCACTTGGCCATTGTCGCTTCTTTGGCGGCTTTCGCCTCTGCTCGCATTTATATACAAATGAACGCCTCCGCAACAGCCTACGCCCCCGCTCTGCCTCTTGGCGGCTTTGGC